TAGTTGAATCCCTCCAAAAAATCTTAATCAATGTGGTCTCCATACAGTCTTTATGGCCATATCTAATGATAATCCTTGTCATGAGCAGGTGGCTGGGTTGGTTATTTCTCATATGACACTGTTCGATACACAGAGAAGAAAAAGCTGCCATTTTCAAGGGCACCCAAGGATGACAGGAATCTTCCAGACATACATCTGGGACTTTATGATGATGTGATCGTGTTTGATCATGTGGAAAAGGTACTGTTTTTTTTATTGACAAAGTAAATTACTGGTGCTATTCCAGATTATAAGTAGTGACCTTCCATTTCTATCTTTGTGTTATTTGTGCTTTTCATTTCTATGACATCATAGTCAATATGTTCCATTTCCTGCTTGAATGTTGAAATAAACACGCTAGAATTTACAAAAAACAAAGTAAGGATTCATAGGTTTGTTTTAATGTGCATGCTTGATGTACATTCTTATTGTAGATAATAGAGGAAAATGAAATGCGCGCTTTGTTGAGCAAGCTATGTGGCAAGTTCAATATGCTCTATTTTTGGTGCATTGTCTCTGGGCATTATCCCTTTTTTAAGAATTTTATTATTTTCCCAAGCTTTCTTCTTATTGAAGATTAATGTAGATAACAGAATGTTTATATAGGCTTTTGTGGTTCTAAATTCATCTTTTTGTTTATTCTCAGAAAGCATTCATAATTCACTGGGTGAAGATAGATAGATACTCTTCTATTGAGGATGCATACAGTGATGGAATGAAACGTTTGGAAAAATTGTTGGCCAGAGTACTGGATATTGATCCGTAAGTTAATTCTCTGTTCTTTTTAATTTTCTTCTACTGTTTTTCTCTGAAGTTCATTTATATTTTCTTTTTAATATGATTGTCACTGCTAGGCCAAGGCTATCTCCAGGTTCTGTAAAATTACACACTCAGCATTTTGGTCCCCTGTTGAAGAACTCGAACATGACCAGTGATGAATACAAGCAAGCAGTCCTACGGGCAAAAGAACATATCCAGGCTGGGGATATTTTCCAGATAGTACTGAGTCAGCGCTTTGAACGCCGAACCTTTGCTGACCCATTTGAAATATATAGAGCATTGAGAGTTGTAAATCCCAGTCCTTACATGACTTACTTGCAAGTATGTGCTCTCTTCTAGTATAGTGTTTATTTTTCCAATGCGTTGGTCAATGCAAAACTTGCAATGCTTAACATTTATTTCACACTACAAATCTATTATCTCATACAGGCTAGAGGGTGTATTCTTGTTGCTTCAAGTCCAGAAATTCTTACACGTGTAAAGAATGTAAGATGCTAAATTTATGATTTTCTATTACTATGGTATGATATTTCAAGCCAAATGACTCAATCCGCACCAACAGCACCATATTTGGTTTTAAATTTTACTTGTAATAAAGCTGATTGCTGATCTCTATGAATTCTTATGCTCATTTGATTTACTGGCTGGTTTTGAGAATATTCACAAGATTTTTCATTGTTACATTTCTTGAACAGAATAGGGTAGTCAATCGGCCACTGGCTGGGACTGTCAGAAGAGGTAAGACACCTGAAGAAGATGAAGTGTTGGAGGAACAATTACTAAAGGATCCAAAGCAGTGTGCAGAACATACCATGCTTGTCGATTTGGGAAGAAATGATGTTGGAAAGGTTTTACTACTGATTGTGAATGTTATCTTTGATTTCTTGAAGCTCATAGTCAATTGATATGGTATTCCTTGAATTTTAGCTAGAAAATTTATCACTCTGTTGAAAGTCTCTTTTACCAAACCATGCACATATGTTCTTTTAATTTGCAATTGTTTATTTCAAGGGTCAACTATGGAGAACTAAATCACTCTGTTAAAAGTCTCTTTTACCAAACCATGCACATATGCTCCTTGATTTGCAGTTGTTTATTTCAAGGGTCATCCTAAATATTTATGTCGGAAAGCGTTCACTTTTACAGTGATCGGTAACTGACTACAACAAATTAAACTACAGCTGTCATCATTTTTCAATTTCTAGCTTTCTTCTGCACAATGTTATTGGTTATAAGTCAGAACAATGTAATTTTGTTTGCTCTCTTCACTGTTATATAAATTGTTATCTGGATAATCAACATCTCAGCATCATTTTATATCCTGAAATTAAGATATATCTTCTTCAGCTTGACTGTAAAAATAGGCCGAGTGGATGGAATTTCTTGTCTATAGGAAAAGGAACATGTATCTTCTTCTTTATCTGATTTGTTGTCAGCATAGTTTTTCTTCAACATGTGATGTTGTGTGCTGTTGCTTTGCTTATTTATTGCTGGTCTCATGCTTTTTTTATTAAATGCTGTTTCACGAAGTTTGTTTAAGTATTCAATGGATAGATGTTCCTCCAAAAGAGTGAGCTATATTTCAATAGTAAAGTTGCTTGACAAGCCATTCTGGGTTGTTGATTGTAGGTTTCAAAACATGGTTCTGTGAAGGTGGAAAGGCTTATGAATGTTGAACGATATTCCCATGTTATGCACATAAGCTCCACGGTGAGACACTCTGCCTACAAAATCAAAATGTTGGTTGAGCTTTTTTATAAAAACTATGTTCTGAATCCCCACGTGTTGTCATTTTGATATTCAAACTATTTTATTCTTTGATTTGAGAATTGGACACAAAGGAAAGTTAATTTCTATAAATGCCTTAAAAATTTACGATGCAAGTATGATATCTCGCATCTTTCGTCCATGGCATTTGCAGGTTTGCATTTCATTTTCTTGACAGCGTTGTAAGGGGATCATTTTGATAGTTATATGGGGATAATAATTTGCTATTTTCCTTATGATGTTATTGATGGTGATGCTGATAACTCTTCTTAAGCAATTAATTTGTGTGGACAATGGCATGGAAGTTGCCATGCAGTATTTGGTTTCATGTGGATTTGAGATGTATAGATGAAGGACTCGTCCTCTTTTGGCTGGTTAGCTAAAACCAAACTTTTACTAATGAAAACCATGCTTTCCCCCAAAATGCAGGTTGCGGGAGAGTTGGATGATCATCTCACTTGCTGGGATGCCCTGCGGGCTGCATTGCCTGTTGGAACTGTCAGTGGAGCACCAAAGGTTTGCTTTTCATCTTATTGTTTCCCATTCCTGCCCAACTCGATTCTTCTGTACTAATGATTTTTAAATCACTGATGAGATGCTCACAACTTGACTTGGTGTTTGGGCTGAACTAAATTTGCAAACATTTTTCGGTCACTATTTATGCTTTATCATGGCATGTTTGGTATTAGGGCATCCTTGTGACTGCACCTGTATTGGCAAGGCTGTTTGTGGAAATCTGTCATGACTAGGTTTAGACTTTACAGCCTAATTTTTTCCATAGTGCTTTCCCAAGCACTATCAAGATGAATATTCCTTTTCCCTTTGCAAATTCCAGTAATCATCATTTGAATTGTGATCCAGGTGAAGGCAATGGAATTGATTGACCAAATGGAGGTGTCGAGGCGTGGCCCATACAGTGGAGGACTAGGTGGGGTTTCCTTCACTGGTGATATGGACATTGCACTGGCTCTTAGGACCATGGTATTCCCAACCGGAACTCAATACAACACAATGTACTCATACAAGGATGCCCATCTGCGCCGTGAATGGATTGCTTACCTTCAAGCTGGTGCTGGTATAGTTGCAGACAGTGTACCTGACGATGAGCATCGTGAATGCCAGAACAAAGCTGCTGGACTTGCTCGTGCCATCGACTTGGCAGAGTCAACTTTTGTTAACAAACCATGAGTTTTAGCAACAGATGCAAATATAGATGTCAATACCAGGGGAAGTTTTGTAGGTAGCAACCTGCTTTGGAAGCCAGCTAGAGTTGCCTGAGAGGCAGAGTAAGAAAAGAATGTTAACCAGTTGTATGTCAAACTTCTGCTTGTTCGTTTTCTCATTACTTGCCGTTGGGGATCTTAAGATTCTGAGTAGGAATACCAATTAATAGGATTAGCAACAGATGCAAATATAGATGTCAATTTACTGAAAAGAGGAAAACTATTAGCTTTAATGATAATTGTTTTTAGTAAACTGACCCAATAACTATTCACTTAAAAGATAACTTTCCTCAACGGATACAGAGTATATTGCGGTCTTGCTTTTATGCTGAACGAGGCCCCATTTAATTGTGTTGAATTTAGAGCATAAACAAAATCCAAGCACTGGGACAAGCAGAGCAGGAATTAAAACCAAGGCAGGTGGGATTTAAGTTACGTTTTCCCGCTGAACTTGGTATTGAGTATTGATTACTTTATTTATGTGCTTGAATGCAGGAATGAAATTCATAAAATGATACCTTAATGGTGTTTGCGTTCCTTTCCTGATAGATTTTTATTTTTTTCATATTTCCAACATGTCAGTGTTTCATATTTGGATGGGGGGGAGGTCCCAGCATTGGCAAAGTATCAGTAGTATTTCCCATGTGGTTGGGCGGAAAATAGATCAAAACAGGAGTGATGATGCGCCTTTTCTTCAATTTCTTCAGAGCATGAATGCATGCAGGAAGAAAACTAGTGTACTCCCGCCTCACAAAACCAGCATCACTCCCCTGTGCTTAACGTTAGTTACTTGCTTCTTTATCGTACATTGTTGACCAAGGTTCTGCGGAAAATAATTTCCTGTTCCATCCATAATATTACTAATATTGGAGGATCAGTAGAGGAGGATATTTTTATTGCAAACTTAGAAAAGCCACATCTGAAGCCCCGGAGAAGATAGTATCATATTGAAGGGCCAGCAATCTGTGTTCAAAGCAATTAAATCCATCGAGCCTTTTGTATTTAAAAACTAGAAAGACGTTCCAACATCACAATCTGCTCCAAATCTAGCGAACCTCCTCCTCAAGAGCATGGGCGGATCAGTAGGTTTAAATGGTTACTTGTGCACTAGTGCAAACCGTAACTTCAACCAGGGCAATCTGTTTTTCTACCAAAATCATCGTTTACCAACTAGAATTCCTCACAACTTTAAAATCCCAAACTTAATTAACATTTACCATAAATTACGCAATCAACCAATTAATAAAGATATGATTATCACCCCTTAATCAAGAATTCTTGCATACCAAAAAAAAATCAAAATTGTAACACGTAAGCATATATGTATATATAATCATAACCATAATCATGTTTTACCATCGTAATCAACGATCTTAGAATCAGTGACGGATTTCGAGTGCTGAACTATAGACCATCCGATCGAATTAATCCAATCCTCCTTTTCCTTCTCAGAATCTGCAATAAAATACATGGTGTCGTTCCTTGTAGAGAACTCAAAAGCGTACTGTCTATGAAGCACATCCTCGGCTCCTTTAACTGTCAAGCAAGAGGCAACCGGGATAGCGCCACGTGGCTTAGACACAGGTGTCACGGTGGAGTCTTTGAACCAGAAGAGCTTCCCTCGTTTCAGAACGACCCACTGGCGTCTCCATGTCTTGATGTGCTCTCCCTGTTTTATTAACCACCCGGTTCGCTCTGATCTCGACCAGAACTCCACCATGTCCATTTGGGTTGATTGGGTTTGGGTTAAGGCTAACATAGCCCACGAGAGAGACGCCATTTTTTTTATTTCAATAGCCATAGCCCACGAGAGAGACGCCATTTTTTTATTTCAATAGCTTTTTAAAAAAAAATATTTAAAAAAATTTAATAAAAAAAATATTTTTTATTTTAAAAAAATTATTTTTTTATTTGTTTCAAGATAATTTTTTTGTTTTTAAAATATTTTTTATTTCAAATTAATTTTTTTGTTTTTAAAACATTTTTATTTTGATATGCTGATATTAAAAATAATTTTTTTAAAATAAAAAATATTTTTTTAATATATTTTTTTTAATAATTTTTTTTTAAAAAAATAACAATTAAAAAGTTACACTGTGCGGTTTGAATTTTGAATAGTGATGAAATCAAGGTGGGAGAGAAGGGAAGGGATGGTTTTCTTCACTTCTTTTCTTTTTCTCCCTTCTCTGATTTCTGGTCGTAGAGCGGCAAGATTCTTTTTCTTTGTTTTGTTTTGATTTGATTTTATGATTTTTTTTTTGTTTTGAACATCATATTTTACTACCAGTTTTACATAATCATACAGCACAAAGTCACAGCAAGAGCTGTCGCAAACCGACCTTAATCAAACATGCTGTTGACGGGTCTCTTCCTGTTGTCATTTCCAACACCACCTCACTTCCCGGGCCATGGTCAACGTAAAATGTTAAGATTGTAGCACAAAAAAAATGGTAGTCAAATGTGGATAGCATGATGAAGAAAGAAGCATATCTGTATGGTTCAGATTACAAGCTGATTAAAATTTGGATAATAATTACTTTACAGAAACGCATGGGAAGGGCAATTGGAACAGCCTATCTATCCACACTACTTCTTAGGGATAACAGCCATCCAAGTGTCTAGATTTACATGATTCTTACAATTGAGTCCTTTGGCTTCAATTGTTTTCACAGAAGTGTTTCAAGTATTTAAAGTGAAATAATTAAGTGTGTTTTTGGATATCTGTCAATTTTTTCTGTTAAATACTTGCATGGCATCCATTGAGTCTCTCTTTGTTTTTTTTTTGGTAAAAGATTTGGCACTGGTGATATTCTTCGTTGATGATGCGATGTGATTACCGAAGAGGGGAAAAAAAGAAGGGAAGAGACAGTGATCCGCCGGTCTGTTACCTGTAAAAAAAAAAATATTTTTATGAAAATATTAAAAAAAATACATAAATAAAAAAATAGTATATTCCCACCGTATATATTTTTTATCCTTTAAGAAATTAAATAGCATGAGCGTTTTATGGAAGTCCAATCAACAATAAAATATATTTTCAGTTATAGTAAAATTAGACGTGTCTTTTGACCAAGAAAAATTAAGCCTCTTGAGTGATGATATAATTTTTTTTTTTTCATAATAAAAATATTTTTTTTCTTTTAAAATCAACAAAATATAAAATTATTGACAAAAAAACTTTCTTAACTTTGCGTAAACTTCTTAACAATTAAAACATGAATTTATTCTTAAATTCAAGAAAATATTATGTTGTATTATAAAAATATTTTGAAGTTTTTAAATTCTATTATCTTCAATATATCTTTAATCGAGGAGACAAAACATAAGCTTAGTATTTGAGAATATTTTATATATTTATTGGGATCACGTGAGGCATTTTGATATTTTTTAAAATTTCCTTTACATGATTCTTACAATTGAGTCCTTTGGCTTCAATTGTTTTTTTACATGATTCTTACAATTGAGTCCTTTGACTTCACACAGAAGTGTTTCAAGTATTTAAAGTGAAATAATTAAGTGTGTTTTTGGATATCTGTCAATTTTTTCTGTTAAATACTTGCATGGCATCCATTGAGTCTCTCTTTGTTTTTTTTTTGGTAAAAGATTTGGCACTGGTGATATTCTTCGTTGATGATGCGATGCGATTACCGAAGAGGGGAAAAAAAGAAGGGAAGAGACAGTGATCCGCCGGTCTGTTACCTGTAAAAAAAAAAATATTTTTATGAAAATATTAAAAAAAATACATAAATAAAAAAATAGTATATTCCCACCGTATATATTTTTTATCCTTTAAGAAATTAAATAGCATGAGCGTTTTATGGAAGTCCAATCAACAATAAAATATATTTTCAGTTATAGTAAAATTAGACGTGTCTTTTGACCAAGAAAAATTAAGCCTCTTGAGTGATGATATAATTTTTTTTTTTTCATAATAAAAATATTTTTTTTCTTTTAAAATCAACAAAATATAAAATTATTGACAAAAAAACTTTATTAACTTTGCGTAAACTTCATAACAATTAAAACATGAATTTATTCTTAAATTCAAGAAAATATTATGTTGTATTATAAAAATATTTTGAAGTTTTTAAATTCTATTATCTTCAATATATCTTTAATCGAGGAGACAAAACATAAGCTTAGTATTTGAGAATATTTTATATATTTATTGGGATCACGTGAGGCATTTTGATATTTTTTAAAATTTCCAATACTTTAAATTGATGGAATGTGGTCGACAAACCCCAATATATGGGTGACATTTGCAAAGTGGACGTGACTGACCATCTATTGTCTTCTTAAATACGTTATTGTGTTCTCTTTTATTTGGAGTGTGTGAGACAACTTATGATGGTTAAATTGTCACTAGTGATTGTTTGATTTTTTTCCCTCTTTTTCTCTTTCATACCAGTGTTATATATTATTGTCCTTTTTATTTCTTATTTTTTAATTTAAGTCCTTGTTTTATTAATTTTTTTATTTGTAGAAGTTTTTATTATTTTTAATCTAGTCATTCAATTACAATCTCTCCCGTGCTTTATTTTTCATTTCAGTCCTTATTTTTTAAAATTTTTAATTTTATCCTTGATATTTTTGTTGAAGTTTCTTTTCTTTCAATTTTATATTTCAATTAAATTTTCTGTTTTTTTAGTTAGACACTTGTTCTTTTAATTTTTTTCCCTTTATTAAATATATTGTTTCAATTCACTTAAACTCTCCAATTGAAATTTTTTATCCCTCTAGTCAATGTTTTTTTCTCACCTTTATTTTTTTTTTGTTCCTCTTGTATAGTTAATTTTTTTTCATGATTTTATCTTCTAGCATTTAATTTACTAGGAATTTGGCTTCATAAGATCTTATTGTTCTTCATTGTTTTTTTCCAGTATTATTTTTTAATTATTTTTAATTTTTTTCTATTAATTTATCATAAACTCATGACACAATTCATGATTTTTACATGTTTTTTTAATATATTGTTTTTAGTTGTTTTGTTTCTCTATTATTTTTTAAGGTATTATTTTAATTTATTTATAATTGTTTTTTATATATAAATAAAGTTTATTTTTTAAAACAATAAATATTTATTTTTAAATCACATTGTTGATATTTTCAGCCTTACATAATATTTTTTATAACATAAATTTATTCAATCAATTTTATTTATATTTATTTTTTAAGTCATGAGTTTTTCAGGATGTGAATTTATTTTTTATTTATTTAAATAAATAAATTTATTAAACATAACTAAAAGCATATCTTATTTTATACTATGAAATATCTTGATTTTATTTATATGTGTTTTTTAATTTATATTTTAATTTTTTTATATAAAAAAATATATACTTGATTTTTTTAAAAAAAATTATACCTCAGGACAAAACACACAGTAATCAAATTACTAAAAACCCTAGAAATTAGATAACGACTAGAAAAGAGACGCCATTAGAAGCATCCTATTCGGCCCATGGACACGTTAAAGCCTAAACTCTCCGAATAATTCCTCATAACCGAAACGCTCACGCTCCAACCAAGCTCTCCTTTTAACTGCCCGAAATCCAAAGAGAGTGAAGCCATTTCCTTGTTCGTAGATAACAGGCAATAACAATGTCAGCATTTGCCAACCCAGTCGCACAAAACGAGTCCACTCGCATGCTTGATGAAAATGATTCCTACGTAGGCTACGATTCGCAGCCATTCGATGACTCATTCGCCGCTGGCAATGATGTTTTCGAGTCTCAGCTACCGATCTACGGCGAGTTCTCTCCTCTTGAAAACGGAGGGTTTGGTGGACCGGAGGGTCCTATTTTTCCTCAACCGTCGGAGAAGGACGCTGAGCAGGGATTTGCTCTCAGAGAATGGAGAAGGTAGATCTGATAAAAAAATTTGGCGTTTGATTGATATTTTGTTTGCTTAAAAGATAATTTGATTAAAACTGTAATTCTGTTTGAACTCTTCGTGAGTAGTGAAATTTGAGAGTTAATATATAATTAGGAGTTTTGATCAATGAAACAAAATTAAGACTTGTTTGAATCATTGAAACTTTATTTTATTCGATTTGCATGGATCAAGAACCAATCTGTAATTTATGTTTATATATGTGATTGTGGTCTTGATTGGTTCAATTTGATGAAAGTATTAGTTTTTATTACATAAAACGATCATGATTAATTATGTTTGCCGGTTTCTGATACCAAGGCAAAACGCCATACTGTTGGAGGATAAGGAAAAGAGGGAAAAGGAGTCACTAAGCCAAATAATCAAGGAAGCTGAAGATTATAAAGTTGAATCTTACAAGAAGAGGGAGATCGCTTGCGAGAATAATAAAATCACCAACAGGGAAAAAGAGAAGGTCAGATTGCATTTTGTATTTTCTTAGCTGATGTTGCCGTTTTGTTTGTTCTTTGTTTGATTATCTCAGTCTACTAACTTGGGCTATGGATTAGAGCAAATGTTATTTTTGTTGTTATTTAAGTTTTCATTTGAGCAAGCTGTATATTTCTAGGCATGTTGAAATGTTCTTTAAGTCCACCATATAGGTATTCTTTTTTGGCATAGCATGTGCAAGAAAGGGCTTGATTAAGCTATTTGTAAGGAGTATATGCCTAAAAGAGTGATAGGGTATGTTTTTTTCAGTGCTTCTGTAACTTCTATGTGGCTAGTACTTTAATATGATCAATGGGAAGAGTTAGAAGCCTGGAGTTGTTGCATTAGATGCACTCAGGTTTTGAATTATTTCGATAATTTCCTTGTAGAGGATAATCACAGAGTTGCTTCCTACTTT